ATGATCATGTTTTTTTTCTTTCAGTTTGTTTATATGATGAATTACATTGACAGATTTTTATATGTTGAACCATCCTTGCATCCATGGGATAAAGCCTACTTGGTCATGGTGGATAACTTTTTTGATGTGTTCTTGGATTCAGTTTGCCAACATTTTACTGAATTTTTTTTCATCAATGTTCATGAGGTAGATTGGTCTGTAATTCTCTTTCTTTGTTGCATCTTTGTGTGGTTTGGGTACCAGGCTAACTATAACCTCATAAAAGGAGTTTGGTAATGTTCCTTCTGTTTCTATTTGGTGGAACAATTTGAAGAGTATTGGTATTAGCTCTTCTTTGAAAATCTGATAGAATTATCTGCTGAAACCATTGGGTCCTGTAGGTTTTTGTTGTTGTTGTTGTGATTCTGTTTTAGACAGGATTTCTCTGTGTAGTTTTGGAGCCTGTCCTGGAACTTGCTCTCTAGTGCAGGCTGGCCTATAACTCACAGATATCTGCCTGCCTCTGCCTTCCAAGTGCAAGGAATATTAAAGGAATGTTCCACCATACCTGGCCAGATTGGGAGACTTTTAATGACTGTTTCTATATCCTTAGGGTTTATAGATATATTTAAATTGTTTGATCTTGATTTAACTTTGGTATGTGATACCTATCCAGAAAATTATCCATTTCTTTTAGATTTTCCAATTTTGTTGAGTACAGGTTTTTGAAGTATGTCATCATGATTCTCTGGATTTCCTCATTATCTGTTGCTATATTTCCTTTTCCTTTTTGATTTTGTAAATTTGGATGCTCTGTCTCTCCCTTTTTGTTAGTCTGGATAAGAGCTTATCTATCTTGTTGATTTTCTCAAAGAACCAACTCTTTGTTTTCATTGATTTCTTGTATTGTTTTCTTTGTTTCTATTTTATTGATTTCAGCCCTCAATTTGATTATTTCCTGGCATCTATTCCTCCTTGGTGAGTTTGCTTCTTTTTGCTCTAGAGCTTTCAGGTGTGCTGTTAAGTCACTAGTATAACCTTTCTCCATTTTCTTTATGTGGGCATTTAGTGCAATGAATTTCCCTCTTAGCACTGCTTTCATAGTGTCCCACAAATTTGGGTATGTTGTACATTCATTTTCATTGATTAAAGTTAGATTCTGATAGTCTGATAAAATACAGGAGGTTATTCCAATTGTTTTGTATCTGTTGAGATTTGCTTTGTGACCAAGCATGTTGCCAGTTTTAGAGAAAGTTCCATGGGGTGCTGAGAAGGAGGTATATTCTTTGTTGTTAGAGTGGAATGTTCGATAGAGATCTATTAAGTCCATTTGAGTTATAATATCTCTTAGTTCCCTTATTTTTCTGTTATGTTTCTGTCTGGCAGACCTGTCCATTGGTGAAAGTGGGGTTTTGCCATCTCCTAATACTAGTGTGTGAGGTTTGATGTGTGATTTAAACTTTAGTAATGTTTCTTTTACATATGTGGATGCTCTTGTATTTGGGTCCATAAATGTTCAGAATTGAGATTTCATCTTGGGGGATTTTTCCTGTGATGAATATGTAATGTCCTTCCTGATCTCTTTTGATTGATTTTAGTTTGATGTCTATTTTATTAGATACTAGGATAGCTACACCAGCTTGCTCCTTAAATCCATTTGATTGGAAAGTCTTTTCCCAGCCATTTATTCTGAGGTAGTGTCTGTTTTTGAAGTTGAGGTGTGTTTCTTACATGCAGCAGAAGGATGGTTCCTGATTTTGTATCCATTCTGTTAGCCTGTGGGTCTTTATAGGTAAATTACTTCCATTGATATTGATGGATATTAATGACCAGTGATTGTTAATTCTTGTTATCTTTTGGTGGAAGTGTGTGTGTGCTTCTCTTCTTTGGTATTTACTGCTGCAGGGTTATCTATTGCCTGTGTTTTTGTGGGTGTATCTGACCTCCTTTTTTAAAATTATTTTTTTTCTTTTTTTAAATTTATTTATTTTTCTGTTATCAGCTTTATACAGTATAAATTCTTATCTTAATAGTGAAATGTTTCATTGAGACTTGCTCAGTAATTGAGTAAAACCATAACTTATTATAAGCCACAGTCATTCTAGGGTCCCCCCTGCTACATAGCCTCCATGGTTCTGTGGGTTGCAGTCTGATTGTTCTTTGCTTTATATCTAGAATCCACTTATGAATGAGTACATACCATGTTTGTCCTTCTGGGTTTGGGATACCTCACTCAAGATGATTATTTCTTGTTCCATCCATTTGCCTGCAAATTTCATGCTGTCATTGTTTTTCTCTGCTGAGTAGTACTCCATTGTGTATATGCATTACGTTTTCTTAATCCATTCTTCAGTTGACAGGCATCTAGGTTGTTTCAAGATTCTGGCTATTACAAATAGTGCTGCTATGAACATAGTTGAGCATGTATGTTTGTGGTATGATTGATCATTCCTTGGGCATATACCCAACAGTGATATGGCTGGGTCTTGAGGTAGTTAGAGTCCCAATTTTCTGAGAAACTGCCATATTGATTTCCACAGTGGTTGTACAAGTTTGCATTCCCACCAACAGTAGAAGAGTGTTCTCTTTGCTCTACATCCTCTCCAACATTGACTGTCATTAGTGTTTTTGATCATAGCCATTTTGACAGGTGTAAGGTGGTATCTCAGAGTCATTTTGATTTGCAGTTCTCTGATGATTAAGGATGTTGAGCATTTCTTTAAATATCTTTCAGCAATTTGAGATTCTTCTTTTGTGAATTCTCTGTTTAGCTCTTTAGCCCACTTTTAATTGGATTGTTCAGTATTTTGATATCTAGTTTTTTGAGTTCTTTATATACTGTGGAGATCAGTCCTCTGTCAGTTGTGGGGTTGGCTTCAGTGCAGAATTCTACCAGATTTTCAAAGAAGAACTAATTCCAATACTCTTCAAATTGTTCCACACAATAGAAACTGACTTCCTTAGGTTGGAATTTTCCTACTAGTGCTTTCTGTGGAGCTGGATTTGTGGATAGGTAATGTTTAAATCTGGTTTTGTATTGAAATGCCTTGTTCACTCCATCAATGGTGATTGAAAGTTTTCTGGGTATACTAGTCTAGGCTGGCATCTATGGTCTCTTTGTGTCTGCATTACATCTGCCCAGTACCTTCTGGCTTTCAAAGTCTCCATTGAGAAGTCGAGTGTTATTCTGATGTGTCTGCCTTTATAAGTCACTTGGCCTTTTTCCTTTGCTACTCTTAATATTCTTTCTTCATTCTGTATGTTTAGTGGTTTAATTATTATGTGTTGAGGGGACTTTTTGGAAGGTCTAGTCTATTTGGTGTTCTATAGGCTTCTTGTATCTTCATAGGTATTTCCTTCTTTATGAAGGGAAAATTTGCTTTCATGATTATGTTCAATATATTTTCTGTGCCTTCGAGTTGGTATTCTTCTCCTTCTTCTATCCCTATTATTCTTAGGTTTGTTTTTTTTTCATGGTGTCCCAGATTTCCTGGACATTTTTTGTTATGACTTTGTTGGCTTTAATGTTTTCTTTGACTGAGGAATCTATTTCCTCTATCGTATATTCAGTGCCAGAGATTCTCTCTTCCATCTTTTTCATTCTGTTGTTTATGCTTGCATCGTTGTTTCCTGTTGATTTACTCAGATTTTCTATTTCCAGCCTTCACTCAATTTGTATCTTCTTTATTGCCTCTATTTCAGTTTTCAAATCTTGAACTGTTTCCTTCACCTGTTTAATTGCTTTTTTTTGTGTTTTCTTTAAAGTATTTATTGATTTCTTCCAATTTTTTGTTTATCTTTCCTCAATTTCTTTAAGGGAATTTTTCATTCCCTCTTTAAAGACCTCTATCGTCTTCTTAAAATCATTTAGAGGTCAGTTAATCTGCTTCCTTTGCATTGGAATGATCAGGACTTACTGAACTACTACGTTCTGGTGTTGACAGATTGGTCTTTATATTGTTGACTGTATTTTTGCACTGGTGTTTACTCATCTATTTTTCTACTTGGTGAAAGTAGTGTCTGTGTCTGAGGGAGCCTCTCAGTTCAATTCATACTCTTGGTCCAATGGGAACTCTTGGTCTAATCAGAGCTCTTGGTCTAGTTGGTGCTGATGGACTCTGTGTCTCAGGGAGCAGCTGTGGTTTCAAAGGGTGAGTGTGTTTAGGAGGTGGGGTGGGGCTTTTACTTACAGGGTCCAGTGGGGAATGGTGGTAGTCTGACCTGCCTGCAAGAGACCTGCCTGCTTGCCTCAAACTGGGACTGCAATGGGTGGTGTAAGGGCACAGGGATGTGCCCTTGGGCCCAAAGCCTGGAGGCTGGGGTGATCAGCTATGAGAGTAGACTCACCTCTTAGTCTAATCTGCACTGGTAGACACTCAGAAGTATAGTTATTGAGTGATTAACCAAGAAGGCATTCGATGAAAATTCTAAGTGATGATGTCACTAATGTTTGGAAGAAAAAACATAGCACTATTCTGAATATGGGGAGTCAAGGATAAAAGTCACAGTAATGGATCATAATTCAGCATCTATGGACTATCAACATATGATGGTGTCAGGAGAAGCTGTGGCCATCCACCAATGGCCATACCTTCTTTCATGGGAAATGTGAATTAGACTGAATGGTTGTGACTACAAGCTGGGAAGGTAAAGGTAGAAATGGATAGAGAAACATGTCTGGGTTTATGTCTGACACCTCAGCTGTTCCATAATTCATACAAGGAAGGATTTCTGGCTTTCTGCCTCACAGGAGAGAGTATATAGATGTCCTACACATTTCACAAAAGCCAGCAGAAGTTAGTCACAGTTGGGACACCATAATGAAATTTTGAACTTTCAGAATCGGGAAGTGTGATAACTTCAACTCTACATTCTACACTACTCTATGGAGAAATAACAATGCCTCATAAGTATGTACAATTTTCAGATTCTGCTTGCAGTTTAGGTAGTTTAGTGTAAAAATATTTTAATGCTGTGACTGATGCACAAAATATGATGATTTTTTTCTATGTTGCCCTCAGACTCCTCAATCTGTATGTACACAGAGCTGTGGTCCAGGTTTCTGGAAAATTTTAGAAGATGAAAGACCAATCTGCTGTTTTTCTTGTATGCTTTGTCCAGAGAGTTACATTTCCAACCAGACAGGTAGAGAATTAATATTTTCCTCAATCTGCTTGTGAATGTACAAGGAGAAAACTAAGGCACGACCATGTGATGTGATGCAGCATGGTTCTCCATATCTTTTTCACTCATCCCCATATTCATTAGTAATCACTGCTGATGCCATACAATGTGTGAACATTTGAGTGGCAGCCCTCATTTTATTGTGTCATCTGCATCCCCACTTCCCCATACTGCCTTTCATTACATAGTAGCTTCATCTCAGCTCTTGCAGTGATCCATACTATGTACTGCCAGGCAATATGAGGTATGCAAGTGTCCAGGATGCATGTGTATTCCTTGAATAAATTAATCCAATGATTCTTTCCTGAAATAAGTCCTGGAAAGGGGCATGTGCGGCCGTTTCCTAAATGTACCATATAAAGAATTAAGTTTACAACATTTAGAATTGTCATTTGGAATATTAAAAATAGTATGAAAAACAAGTCTTTGTACAGGAAGGTACAGCTGTTGACCTTTATCTAGGATGATGGTCAGCCCTGAGATCATATATACAGCTAATACTTTACAGACATAACCAATGGTATTTAGGAATACATGCATTCTTGCACACATACAAATCAACACTTAATGAAAAAGAGGAATAAATTTAACAGAAAATAAGACTATGTTAAGTCCAGGAGAGAGATTAGAGGGAAAAATGAGAAGAGAGGTAATGAGGTAATTATATTACAATTTAAATAAGGAAGGCTAACATAAAGAAAAAAATTGGTGAAAGTAGAATATGAAATTCTAATAATGATGACAATCTACTACTTAACTACTGGCTTCAATAAAACTGACACTTAAGGAACTGTATAACAAATGGAATACGTTATCACAACAAAATGAAAGATGGGGAGATTAATTAAATAGAATTTAGTTTTCTAAAAGGTAATGTTACCATAGGTGAAATTATTGGCAGAGTTCTCTGTGATTGTCATCATCATAAGGGCAGGGTAACTGGAAATATCTAATTCCTTAGTGGATGTCTTCAGGTAAAGAAAAGATTATTAAAAGTAACTTTTCTGATTATTTTGATGTGTGCATGCATGTATGTGCCATAGCTGACATATGGAGAACACAGGATATCTTTGTGGAGCTGGGGCATCTTCCTTGACTTTGACAGGTTTAGAGTTCAAACTCAGGTTATCAGGTTTGCATGGTAAGCCCTTTTCTCTACAGAGTTATATATTATACCAACACCTACCCTGATTCTTAGAGCATTTGCTACACCAAGCATTTGCTTTTGTTTCCTTTTTTTTTTGATTTTGAAATTACAATGAAATTATGTTATTTTTTTTTCATTTTCCTTGATGTGAAATGTGTCATATACACCTTATTACTCTCTTTTACATTACAGCCTTTTTTCATTGATTGGATTACAATTAAATATGTATACATATAAATTATAATATAACTGGATTGTTCTGTATGACATTACTTGCATATATGTACTTAGGGCTGACCATTTTATATTGAATGACAAACTGTGCTCTTCCCTGGGGAAGACCATTTCTCCCCCTCTCAACATTTTGTAGTTGCATCCTGTTCTTTGGGTAGGGTTGGGACATTGTGGTCATTTTCCTGAATACTTTGGCATGTCTGATGCTGTTGTCTCTGGTCGGTTCCACATATCTAGGTGGTCATGTTGATAGGACTTCTGGGTTTAGCTTATGATGTTACTAAGAGACACAATCTCACAGACAAACCCCTTAATTTTTGTTCCTTATGATCTTTCCACACTCTAATCTGAAATGCTCTGTGAGCCTTAGGTTTGGGAATAGTATTGGAGATTTATCCACTGGAGGTGCCCTCCACAACTCTGCATTTGATTGGTCGGTCCATATTGGCATCATCTGTTGTAAAGAGAAGTTTTCTTGCTGGGGAGTAAAGACTATAATTATCTGTGGGAATCAGGGCAAACATTTACAGATTGTTGTTACAGATCATGCTGGTTTAGTAAATTAGTAATAATCATGACTTCACTATCACTGAGTACTTAGGTTTCAGGCATAGGAATGGTTTCTTTATTGTTGAGTGGGTCTTGAGTCCTATTTAAAGAGCTGTTGAATACTGTCAAGGTATGCATGCCACTACCACATCCTTAGGGTTTTGTGCTATGCTTGTCATTGATATGGTTCTTAGTGGACATAGCAGGCTAGGACTGTTGGTTGTTTTCATCATTTGGAAGCTTGCATGATGTCTTCTGGTACTGTGAAAGCCAGTCCTCAGAGAAAGGACATTCATGTAAGTTCCACCTCAAGGGTCTCTGTGCTCTGTTTCTGAAGTACATGGTGTCGTCAGCAGTAGGGACTCACTTTTCAATTCTGCCGATTGAACAAGGGCAGCAGTGATAGGCGGTATGCTTTGGGAACCCCTTCACTAACCCTTGACAACAACTCCAAAGGAAGTTTCTCCTGTCTGGTGTTGGGTTTGTGTTTATAGTCTTGTTCTTGGAGAGAGGAGCATCAGCCCAGAGGAGAAAGGTTTATTAAAGCTATATGTATCAGTATAAAGAGAATTAATGGTATTGTAGGGTTTTTCCAGTTATAGTCATATAATAAGACTCTGTGGTTTTCAGACATCCTTACTGATATTTTACCACCTCTCTCCTTGTTCCGTATTTACTTCCCTTCCTCTTCCCTAAAGTTCCCTCATCCCCTTTTTCCTTTTTGATCACATCACTTATTCTGGACATCCTTATTGTTATTTCAGTCTCTTCCCTCCCTCACCTGTATTTATCTGTCTCTTACCTCCACGATTAGAGTCTCCCTCTTTTGCATGTCCCCCTTCTGGTCATCTCTTCTCTGCTATTCCATTCTGTTATTCCCCAGCTCCTGCAGTGGTCCTGCTCAGTTTCCTGTCTTCTGCAGTTTCCCCAGGACATGTACTCACATCTGAAGATTTGGAGATAGGAACCTCAGATGAGAAAGAACATGTGACATTTGTCTTGGTGGGTCAGGATTTTTTGACTCAATATAATCTTTTCTAGTTCCACCCACATATCCACAATGTTTATGATTTCATTTTTCTTTAAACTCAAATAGTTTCCATGGATTATGTGTATCACAGTTTTATTATCCACTGGTCAGTTCTAGATTATTTAGATGTTTTTCTATTTCCTAACTGCTATAAACAAAGCCGCATTGCACATGCAGAGCAGATACCCGTGGAGCAGGATGTGGAGTCCTAGGGACATAAGACAAGGAGTGGTTCTGCTGGGTCATATGGCAGAATTACTTTCCCCATGTTTGCACAGTGGCTGCCCCAGCTACAATCCCACCATAAATGAATGAGGATTTCCTTTTCCTCTGTGTCACTCAAGCATTTGTTGGTTGTTCTGTGGATCTTTATATTCTTCCTGTGGTAACATGAAATCTAAAGTTGTTTTGATTTATGTTTCCCTAATTGCTAAGGATGGCAGACTTTTTTGAATTATTAATTAGCTATTTTATTTCCAACTGAAAATCTCTTTTCAGATGCCAGGATCATTTCTTTTTTTTTTTTTTTTACATTTAACCTAATTTTATTCATGCTTGCCTAGGGATGGGAAATAGATCATCCAATAAAAACATACAGTAAAAACAGGGGGGGGGGGGCGCGGAGGAGGGAGGCTTATCATGTACAATGTTTAAACTACAATAATGATGTACCTTAATTACTTCCATGCACACAAGTCTAACATTACAAGTTTTTAAAAAATAAACACAATTCCCGAAGACTTCCCTTCTGGACCAGAGGTGAGTACCCGGGTCCAACCCGGACCGCATCCCTGGCCACCAGCCACCCCGGGAGGACCTCCCCAGCTTGGCGCCGGGTTCTGGCCACCGGGCAGCTCCCCTTCTAGCCCCACC